AACTAAAGAAATAGTGCTGATAGGGAGACTTTTTTTCAGAAACAGTTTCGTTGCGAAAAACAATCGTCTCAAATATTTCAAAGCCTNGGTGAATATCGTGCATATACCTATTTCGAAAAACGTTGTCGGCGAAAACGGCGAATGTGAATTATCAAACGGCGATTCAAGAGTAGCCATGGGTTTTGTTAATGAAGTGGAAATAACAACTGATTTATATTATATTAAATATAAGCATAGTCAGTGACAAAGATTGGCTCCATTTCTTTTCAAGGTGAATGCAATAAGTGAAATTTTGTTTGTTAAAAGAATGTAACCATAGTCTATTTCGGTCGTGTATTCTCTCTTGGACAGTCACCGAAAACGTTTTTTTTAAATAGCTGTATGTCAATGTCGGCTGAGTTGCGGACAGAACTGTTACGTCTGGAAACCTAGCGGATTTTCGGCATGATGGCGAGACAGACAGACAGACATACGGACGGACAAACAGACAGACAGCGATTGGTATCATTCCACATGGAATGTAGATTTATTTTGGAGGGGATGTAAAAGCTGGGTTACCTTTGGAGCTGGCACTGGGAAGCACTCCAAAATACAAAGGGAACCCACATGGATTGCGCAAGTCCGTTACTCGGCCCCGTCAGCTGCCGACCCCCTTAGTTTTTATCGCTTCTCGGCCTTTTGGCTAAGTCTTTGTTAGGCGAAGCCCTGCTGAGAAGCGTGGTGGGGTTCCTGTGTTTTCTGGTATTGCTTGTCAAGTATTTGGACGCTGTTGCTTGTGGGATTCAAGTTGACCATGGTCAAGCAAACTTATACAGTGACCGTTCGGAAATTGGAGGGTGCAATGCCTGACTATACGACGTTCTGCAACATGGTGGAGAAGGGGATTTTTGGTGAGGTCAAAGATATTGTCCAGGTCTCTAAGCGTGGTGATGAGTACTTGGTTTCTTACAAGACAACGGAGATTATGATGAGTGAAGCGAAGAATTGTCGCAGGAGTACGGAGAAAGGGGATTTTTATCTGGATCCGGTTGAGAGAAGAGGAACATATATTAAGGTGTATGATCTTCCCTATGAAGTGAATCTTACTAGTGTGGGGGAATTTTTCGAGGAGTTTGGAGAGGTGGTTGGAGCTGACAGGGACAAATTCCCTTGGCGCCCATTTTACAATGGCATACGAACTATACGGATTTTCCTGAACGACGATGTGGTCATCCCCGACCGTCCATCTATAATGGGACACGAGTGCAAGGTGATCAATACCAGCGTCCCGTTTTGTTCAATGTGTAAGAAGAATGGGCACACGAGGCGCGACTGCCCGGAGAAGACGTGCCACAACTGTGGAGAGTGGGGTCATTTTTCCAAGCGTTGCCCAGAGGCAAAATGTAACCGATGTCATGGATTGGGACACTGGGCCCGTCAGTGCAGAGAGGGTCTAGAGGATAGGAGTAAGGAAATAGGAAGTACGGTAGTGCGGGGTCCAGCGAAACCAACCTACGCGGCGGCGGCTGCTGGGGTGTCAAAGCGAATGACTGGTATAAGAGGGAGTGGTGCTGACAAGAGTGCGGGGGCGTTTTCGGTTCCGGGGGCGGCTTCTCTTCCTAGGGCGCCCCGGGCACCACCGCGGGTTACGAGGTCGTGGTCTGAGATTGTTGATGAGGGTGAACAGGGAGGTGCCGGCGGTGTTGCCAAGCGCCGTCCGGACCAGCCCCTCCCGACGAGCAATCGGCATGATGTTCGAAATGATGAAAGCCATATGGATGTGTCCCAGCCGACGGATTCCCAGCTTCTCCTTCGGGAGTATGAAAGCTACGAAAAGCAGTTGCAATCTGATGTTCAAGATAAGGGTGGTACGGTAACCTGAGCGTACATAATATGGAACATTGACTTGTGTTTTGAAGACTTTTGTCATGGACGTTAAGTTTAAGCTAGTTTGAATACGAACATTGTTTCCTGGTTTAAGTTATTGGAATAGGAACACTCATATGGTATCGCTTTTAGTTAGATTGGATCCTAGTTGGATCGGCAATGTTACTGTTTAATGCACCACGTTTGATTAGGTCTTAAGTGTCTTCACTAAAAGTGAGCAGTTATCATTAGTTTTAGTATCGCTTTTAATTAGATTGGGTCCGAGATGGATCAGCAATGTTACTGTTTAATGCATTACGTTTGAGTAGGTTTAATTGTCTTCACTAAATGTGAGCAGTTTTCATTAGTTTTAATAGGTTGTTACCCTTTTGACATTTGTTGGTTAACGTTCTTGTTGATTTATCATCTTGTATGTAGTTTTTGGTTATCATTCGAGCAGTTGATAAGCTCATTAATTAAGGTTTCACTTTCATGCACTGACTTCAGCAATAAGAAGTATTAGTGCTTTAAGATGTTTGAATCGATTGCTAGCTAGGTTCTTCGTATGTTAGAATGCTTTGGACTGTGAAGTGTGTATGTATTGTCTTTGAATTGTAATGTAAGGAGTATTTACTCAATAAACATTTTATTACATCAAAAAAATCTGTTCTTATCAGCTTAATATCTGATACGCTGCTCATCGAGTAGCTCATATATTAAACTGATTTTTGGAACTGGGCTGTGGAAAAGAGGCTTGCCTCGTCCCAGCCACGGGTTGTCTCGGTATTGCACTACCTCCGAGTTCGGCCCACTTCCCTTCGGGGAAGAATTATTTCAAAAAAGAAAAGTAACAATCAAGCGCAAA